TTCCTCCATTCCCAACTGCATCCTCTCTCCTTGCTTCCTTCTTAAAACGCAGTAGAGGAGAAGGCCTGAATGGGAAGGACCTTGAATCTTCTCTTCCAATGCATTTAAGGAGGCGAGGAGTGATAATGCATGGAATTGAGGAAAGACTGGCCCATCTGACATGTTTGTAATTTCCTGCATCCACATTGTTGATCTTTATGTTTTGTGTGGTACAGGAGAGCAGAGACCCCAGGAAGCTCCACTGGCTGTTTGAGATGCTGATGGAATCTCCAGTCAACGGGGAGGGGGGATCCTTTGTAGACGCCTGGTGAGGAAAAACCTTACCAACCTATGAACTGTCAGATCTCTGTACAGTCTTTCTCCTAGATTATGTTCCATGCACACGCAAAGGCCCCCAAATCAACATTCAAGCTCTCAATAAAAATCAAACTCTTTTAGGTGGGCAAAAGAGCTAGGCAGTGTAGTCCCCCCACATTTACAATGGTATGTAGGGGAAACACTGTATTTTCGTGTTAGCATATGTGTGTGTATTAACTCTCCTCTCTCCAGTCGTCTGTATGTGCTGCAGGGAGGCCTGGCTCAGCAGGAGTGGAGAGTCCCTGAGCTGCTCCACAGACTGCTACAGTACCTAGAGCCCAAACTCACACAGGTCTACAAGAACGTCCGCGAGCGCATCGGCAGGTAGGACCTCGCCTACATCCATTGACCGAACACTGATGCAGTTATTAAAAAATATACTATCGGTATACATTTCAAATGGCGTATTTCCAAAAATACTTACCCCAGTGTTTTACCCAAAAGGCTCAGACTTTTGTTTCCACCTCCATGGCCTGGCCCCAGGGTCTCACTGAGCCATGCTCTTGCTTGGACTTGGAGCCAAGGCCCTGGCCACTGGTACTTTTCATCTGGCATTTACTTAACAATGGCTAACTGCAATTAAAGACTTTAAGTCCGGGAAAACTCCAGGGTTGGATGGCATACCAGTCGAGGTATACCAAACCTTTTTTGATATACTCAGAGGACCGTTATTAGCATGTTTAAACCACTCCTATGTAAATGGTAGATTATCATACACTCAAGAAGAAGGTCTGATTTCATTATTACTGAAACAGGATACAAGTGGAAAATATAAAGATCCAGTTCATTTAAAAAATTGGAGGCCCCTTACTCTTCAGTGTTGTGATGCAAATATTCTAGCAAAATGTATAGCGCATAGAATTAAAAAGGTATTGTCGGACATTATTCATTCTAATCAGACAGGCTTTTTACATGGACGATACATTGGAGATAATATAAGACAAGTACTGGAAACAGTAGAACACTATGAAAAATCTGGGAAACCAGGCCTGCATAGCAGACTTTGAAAAGGCATTTGATAAAGTACGACTGGGGTTCATATATAAATGCCTGGAGCGTTTTAATATAGGAGAATCTCTTATAAAATGGGTTAAAATCATGTATAGTAACCCTAGGTGTAAAATAGTAAATAATGGCTATTTCTCAGAAAGTTTTAAACTGTCAAGAGGAGTGAAACAATGTCGTCCACTTTCGGCATATCTATTTATTATGGCCATCGAAATGTTAGCTATTCAAATCAGATCCAGCAATAATATGAAGGGATTAGAAATCCAGGGCTTAAAAACAAAGGTGTCATTGTACGCTGATGATTCATGTTTTCTTTTAAATCCACAACTTGAATCCCTCCACAGCCTCAGAGGATCTAGATACATTTTCTAACCTCTGGATTACAACCAAATTATGATAAATGTACTATATTACGTATTGGATCACTAAAAAATACAGTTTTTACATTACCATGTAGTTTACCAATAAAATGGTCTGATGTGGATATACTCGGAATACATATCCCAAAGGAAATAAATGATCTCACTCCAATACATTTTAATAGAAAGTTAGCAAAAATAGATAAAGATCTTGCTACCATGGAAAGGTAAATACCAGTCAATTTGTGGAAAAACACCCTGATTAACTCTTTAGTATTATTCCAGTTTACCTATTTGCTTATGGTCTTGCCTACGCCTAGCGAACAGTTTTTTAAAAATCATATGAGAAAATATTCAATTTTATTTGGAACAGCAAGCCAGACAAAATTAAACGGGCCTATTTATATAATGCATATGAATTCGGAGGACAGAAATGATTAAACATTAAAGCAATAGACCTATCACTAAAAGCTTCAGTCATACAAAAGTTATACTTAAATCCGAACTGGTTCTCTAGCAAATTAGTAAGATTGTTTCACCCAATGTTCAAGAAGGGCCTTTTTCCCTTTATTAAGATTACAACCTCTCACTTTCAGTTATTTGAAAAGGAAATCATCTCCCAGATATCACTATTTCTAAAACAAGCCATAGAAAGTTGGTTGCAATTTCTATTTAATCCTCCAGAAACGACAGAACAAATAATGCAACAAATATTGTGGTTAAACTCAAATATACCAATTGATAGAAAAACATAATTTTTTGAATAAAAAAAAAAAAAAAGTTATAATCTTCATAAATGATGTCATAGGTAGAACTGGTGGAGTTGTCACACATGCAGCTAACAAAAACATATGGAAATGTCTGCTCTACCCAAAATTACAACCAAATAATTTCAGCATTAACGCAAAAATGGAAGAGGAAAGTGGAAGCGGGAAAAAGTAAGGAACTTGTCTGTCGGTCCTGCATTAAAGACCATAATTGTGATAAATAAAAAAGTATACCAGTTTCATTTAAGGACCAAAGGATTGACAGCCGTCCCATATAGATTGCAAAATAGTTGGGAAAAGATTTTTGATGTACCGATTCCATGGCATAGTATTTATGAACTGATACGCAAAACGACGCGGATTCAAAACTTAGAATCAATCCATTTAAATTATACAAAATTCTTGCTACCAATAGAATGTTATTTATATGGGGGATACAATCTTCCCAGCTCTGCAGATTTTGCTGTGAAGAGACAGAATCATTAGATCATTTGTTTTGGTACTGTCAATTTGTAGCTTGTTTTTGGACACAGGTCCAGGAATGGCTAAAGGATTGCAATATTTACCTGGAGCTAACCCTGCAGATAGCACTACTGGGTGATCTGAAAAGTCATAGTCAATCGATCAATAATATAATAATACTTTTAACAAAAATGTTTAATTTCAATTTTCAATCTGTAGAAACAATGAGAATAGAAGGGTTCAGAACTTTTGTAAAACATCACAGAACAGTTGAAAAATATATGGCAAATAGAAATCCGGTATGGATGGTGTTAAGAGATAGATGGGAGGTGTTGAATGGAGTTGACGGATGGGACTAATAACTAACAACAACTAATAACAACAAGATAACTAATGTAAAGCATACTGTGTCCATAAGTATATACAGTTGGAGTCATTAAAACTCATTTTTCAACCACTCCACAAATTTCTTGTTAACAAACTATAGTTTTGGCAAGTCGGTTAGGACATCTACTTTGTGCATGACACAAGTCATTTTTCCAACAATTGTTTACAGACAGATTATTTCACTTATTCACTGTATCACAATTCCAGTGGGTCAGAAGTTTACATACACTAGGTTGACTGTGCCTTTAAACAGCTTGGAAAATTCCAGAAAATGATGTCATTGCTTTAGAAGCTTCTGATAGGCTAATTTACATCATTTGAGTCAATTGGAGGTGTACCTGTGGATGTATTTCAAGGCCTACCTTCAAACTCAGTGCCTCTTTGCTTGACATCATGGGAAAATCAAAAGAAATCAGCCAAGACCTCAGAAATAAATCTGGTTCATCCTTGGGAGCAATTTCCAAATGCCTGAAGGTACCACGTTCATCTGTACAAACAATAGTACACAAGTATAAACACCATGGGACCACGCAGCCGTCATACCGCTCAGGAAGGAGACGCGTTCTGTCTCCTAGAGATGAACGTACTTTGGTGCGAAAAGTGCAAATCAATCCCAGAACAACAGCAAAGGACCTTGTGAAGATGCTGGAGGAAACGGGTACAAAAGTATCTATATCCACAGGAAAATGAGTCCTATATCAACATAACCTGAAAGGCCGCTCAGCAAGGAAGATGCCACTGCTCCAAAACCGCCATAAAAAAGCCAGACTACGGTTTGCAACTGCACATGGGGACAAAGATCGTACTTTTTGGAGAAATGTCCTCTGGTCTGATGAAATAGAACTGTTTGACCATAATGACCATCGTTATGTTTGGTGGAAAAAGGGGATAGCTTGCAAGCCGAAGAACACCATCCCAACCGTGAAGCACGGGGTGGCAGCATCATGCTGTGTGGGTGCTTTGCTGCAGGAGGGACTGGTGCACTTCACAAAATAGATGGCATCATGAGGAAGGAAAATTATGTGGATATATTGAAGCAACATCTCAAGACATCAGTCAGGAAGTTAAAGCTTGGTCGCAAATGGGTCTTCCAAATGGACAATGACCCCAAGCATACATATATTTGCGAGAAAAAAACATATGGGTGATTGGAAGTGATGCAGACAATTACATTGATGTAAGTTACAATCTATCTGCAATATTAAAGCTGATCTACCCCCTAAAAAAAAAAAAAAGAAGGCTAACTGTGAACATGGGTTAACACCTTCCGTGGTTAACACCTTCTCACATCGAACTTTCTTGATGATGCAGAGGTTGTTGATTCTGCTCTTCATAAGTCCTGTGTCAACCCTGTAGCTATGGAAACACAGTTCCAAAAAAATAACACTAAAGCCCACATTAACATAATCACTGGTGGTGTAGTGGAAACCCCCCAAAAGATGATGGTAAGGGGCTACCGCTTCCCACTGTTTTTTTCTTCTTCTTGGTATCCACTGATGTTTACACACACCCACACACCGTCATGCTCTCTTATCAATCTCTCTCCTCTCTTTCTCTCTCTCCTCCCTCTTCCCCAGCGTCCTCACCTACATCTTCATGATTGACGTGAACCTGCCGTACACCCAGCCTACAGCCTCACCTCGCATCAAGGAATTCACAGAGCGTGTACTGATGCGCCTCAAACCCCTGACGGAGGGGGACGAGGAGATCCAGAACCACGTGGTAGAGGAGAACGAGGTGGGGGAGCAGGATGAGAGGACACAGGCCATCAAACTACTGAAGACAGGTACGACCCCTAACCCTAACACAGGCCATCAAACTACTGAAGACAGGTACAACCCCTAACCCTAACACAGGCCATCAAACTACTGAAGACAGGTACGACCCCTAACCCTAACACAGGCCATCAAACTACTGAAGACAGGTACGAACCCTAACCCTAACACAGGCCATCAAACTACTGAAGACAGGTACAACCCCTAACCCTAACACAGGCCATCAAACTACTGAAGACCGGTACGACCCCTAACCCTAACACAGGCCATCAAACTACTGAAGACAGATACGAACCCTAACCCGAACACAGGCCATCAAACTACTGAAGACAGGTACGAACCCTGACCCTAACACAGGCCATCAAACTACTGAAGACCGGTACGACCCCTAACCCTAACACAGGCCATCAAACTACTGAAGACAGATACGAACCCTAACCCGAACACAGGCCATCAAACTACTGAAGACCGGTAAGAGATCAGAGGATAGGGAGAGCGAGAGCATATTGATAGAGATGATGATAAACTCAGGTGTAAAACCAAAGAAAACAGTCTCCTCACACTAAGATTAATGCACATTTCAGTCATTTTAATGTGTCAACCTTTCAGTTACAATGACCTTCATCAGAGCATACAGTGTAATAAAGGTTTTCTATTTGTTTCCAGTACTCAAGTGGCTGATGGCCAGTGCTGGACGCTCTTTCTCCACGGCTGTTCCAGAGCAGCTCCAGTTGCTGCCACTGCTGTTCAAGGTGGGTGGGTCAAGGAAGGAAGAAACCTGAAGAGGAACCAGACTCTGAGGGAGAGGCCTATCCCTAACCCCATTTCTCTCTCTTCTCTATTCCTCTTGTAGATCGCTCCGGTGGAGAATGATGACAGTTATGATGAGCTGAAGAGGGATGCCAAGACCTGTCTGTCTCTGATGTCCCAGGGACTGCTCTACACAGAGCAGATACCACTGGTCCTACTGGCCCTGCAGGAGGTAGGGACACACACACACACACACCAAGGACTCCTCGACACAGAGGAGGGACACACATGTTCTGCAGGTGGTAGGTCACCACACACACACGTGCACGCACTGCGGGAGGTGAGTCACCGGGCCACCCGCCTTTCATTTCTGACACACACACACACACACACACACAAATCTCAGGCCAGACTCATCTTCAACCATTTTCCCCATTCACTGCAAAGTCCAAATAAAAAAATTGTTCAAAAACAGGTCAAAGGTTTTTAGAAATGTTTGCAAATGTATTTTTTTTTAAAAACGGAAATACCTTATTTACATAAGTATTCAGACCCTTTGCAATGAGACTTTAAATTGAGCTCAGGTGCATCCTGTTTCCATTGATCATCCTTGAGATGTTTCTACAACTTGATTGTAGTCCACCTGTGGTAAATTAAATTGATTGGACATGATTTGGAAAGGCACACACCTGTCTATATAAGGTCCCACAGTTGACAGTACATGTCAGAGCAAAAACCAAGCCATGATGTCGAAGGAATTGTCCGTAGAGCTCCGAGACAGGATTGTGTCGAAGCACAGATCTGCAGCATTGAAGGTCCCCAAGAACACAGTCGCCTCCATTCTTCACTTTTAAGAAGGCACACCTGTTAATTGAAATGCATTCCAGGTGACTACCTCATGAAGCTGGTTGAGAGAATGCCAAGAGTGTGCAAAGCTGTCATTAAGGCAAAGGGTGGCTATCTGAAGAATCTCAAATATAAAATATATTTTCATTTGTTTAACACTTTTATGGGGTTACTTCATAATTCCATATGTGTTATTTCATAGTTTTGATGTCTTCACTATTATTCTACAATGTAGAAAATAGTATAAATAAAGAAAAACCCTTGAATGAGTGTGTGTGTGTAGATATATATATATATATATATATATATATATATAGATAGATAGATCTATCAATTAAAACACTAGGCCTATAGGCTATGCCTATGCTGCGTTGCATGCCTCTTGAGTTAATCTGAGCTGAAAAAACATTGTAGGCTATTCCATTAAATCAACTAGAGCCTATACGCACATTGTAATCGAAGTCCAAATCTTAATTGGTGCATTTGAAAATCCTTTTGTGAGGCGCAGCCGGGAACAACTTCTGTACGATGGAGAGTGGTGGGGTCGATAAACCAGAATTGGAGGATCCTCCATCATTGTTTAAATCTCCAGTTTGGGAACATTTTTGCTTTACAATAGAAGCAAAACTGTATTGAACTTTGTAGGATATCAACAAAATGTATTGAATTTATTAGAACATTTAATTCATTTGCCCAAAATGTTAAGACACGTGTAAGTGATTCATATTTTCCTTCCACTTTCTGAAGAGGCAGCGGCGTGGGAATGCCCCCGTCTGTGTGTGCATCTGCTACTATGTAGCCGTTAACGATTATGCTAGTGACAACGGTCTTCTAGTAGATGGAAAGGCTTTCCCCAAAATCTTCTACAAAGTAGTCTATGCATACCTGGCAGAATAATATAATGATTATTTGCATCAATTCAGTCGTGATTTGTTCAGCAAACTCTGCAATCACGTGTGCTACAGAAACACTGCTAACCAAGCAAGGCTCTTGCTGGTGCGCACCTAAATTAAAGGGTATCTACACCCAAAAATGATTTTATTTTTTCCCTTAACTCAAAAATGGTCTGATGTGGTTTAAGCATTGTTGTGGACTTAGAACCTCCAATTGTGTTGTTTTTCTATTAAACAAGTTTGATTTAGAGACTGAAAATCTGAAAAACAGGGAAAAATCAGAAACCTGGAAGAACTTAATGAGAACTGAATTTGGGGATAAATAAAACGGATGTTATATGGCCCTACATTGTATGGCTCATCTATTCCTGAGTTAGTTTAGCATATTTTGCCAAAAGAAAAATTTACTACAGTAACCTTTGGCATTTCATTTTCCTGCTGTACCGAAACCAAACTGTGACCCCAAAACCTCAATGCGTACCAAACCGTGGGTTTGGTGAACCATTAAACCCCTAGTTGTTGTGTTGTAATTAACATTCTATGTTATATTATTTTACAGATAGCGGGCAGCAGTTCGTGGCATGCTCGCTACACGGTGCTGACGTACCTACAGATCATGGTCTTCTACAACCTGTTCACCTTTATGAGCGACCAGGGAGCCGTCAACGACGTCAGAGCACTGGTCATACGCCTGCTGGAGGACGAGCAGCTAGAGGTAACACACACACACACACACACACACACACACAGGAAATGAATGTAGAAAAGGAGTTGAACAGGCATGAGTGGATGATCATTATGCATAACAAAGACATGGAACAAAGACATGGATATGTAGAGACTGATTAATGCCAGAAGATGTCATGGCTGAAAGAGCGGGGACAGAGCAGTGTGGGGAGGTAGGCCTATTTGTTACAGATCACATTGTGTAATTGCTGAGCAATCTGTCACAGAAAGTTTGTGTGTGTGTGTTTGCTCACAGGCCCTTTGCTCCCTGTCTTACAGCTCTCTGTATGTAGGGATTAGGCACTCTTCCTCCCTCCATCTTCCTCCTCTTTCTCCCCCTCCGGTCCCTCTCTCACTTGTTGCTATGGAAACCACAGGCTGCAGGAGTATTCTGTTGCTATGGGGAGGGGATTAAGGGGGAGAGGGGGTTGGATAGATGTATGTAGCCATTTCTCTGTCTTTCTATCCAGACAAAATGGCTCAGTTCAACTGTCCTCTAGGGAGGGCTGTGACGATTATGGAATTCTAGGTAATGATTAATTGTCATGCAAATGGTCATGGTTATTGTCGTAATTGTGTATTTTTTTATGTTATTTTTTGAGCTTGTAATGCATCATAATGCATCTTTGAAAATGAACCACGCCTTACCTACCGAATACAACACAGCTTTGGTGACACCCCTGTCTAAAAAAACAAAATGGTTTTGCCGACTTGGAACTTTTGAAAGTGAACCTTCTCCTCATGACCGTGCCATTCTGCTCGTAAAATGATAACCAACTTCACACACTTAATGTAAAAATGAAAAACCGCTATTGGGTAAACTATATCTACTTAAAGTTGAATCCAGCCTTCTCCTAAAATGAATGTATTAAGACGATTATGACAACAATAAAATGTTATTGTCCATAATTATACCAGCCTTACTCTTGAGCCTAATATATTGACATTCCTTGGCTGCTTGACACCTCTCGTTGCTAGGCGACATCAATTGGTTCACTCAATCAGTGACAGGATTGGGGTTAATACTGTTGTGTAAACGTCGGACCGTACGTGTGTGTGTGTGTGTGTGTGTGTGTGTGTGTGTGTGTGTGTGTGTGTGTGTGTGTCAGGGCTCAGTAATCACTGTTGCGTTTGCAGTCTCAATCTCAACCATGGACCGACCGTGTGTGTCTGTTTAATAACATACACATACTGATCAGGAACTAACATGGATACTATTTCTTCATAATTATTTTCTAAAGAGAAGTCCAGCAACACAAAAGGCCTGATGCTGGTTGCAGCTGTAGATTCCTCTTCCCTCCTCCTCCCCAGCCCACCGTACAGTACACAGCCTAGCTACAGAACAGTCCTGAGCCTTTGTGCGCTCAAGGGTGAGACTGAATCACTAAATGAACTCCAGTCTCCCTGTTCTCTCTCTTCTCTCTCTGGCTCAATCTCAATGAGCCTTTCTGTGATTCCTCGCTTCCCATCACCTTGCCAACAGTGTTGTAGGAGAAGGTCCAAGGTCCCTCCCCCTAAGACTTTCTCCAATGCATTTTGAGAAGGAGGCGAGGAGGAGAATTTCGATAGAGCTTCTGAGATGAGCCGAGGTAGTCAGTACAGACTGGGCCAGCCAGCTCCATATATGGCCACACACACTGTTGCATTGCATAAATAATTAACCCTTTCCCCCTCTCCTTCTCTACCTCCGTTCTCCCTCTGTCCCCCAGGTGAGGGAGATGGCTGCCACCACTCTGAGCGGTTTCCTCCAGTGTAACTTCCTGTCCATAGAGGGCCCCATGCAGAATCACTTCGAGGCCCTCTGCAAGACCCGCCTGCCCAAGAAGAGGAAGAGGGAGTTGGGCTCTGTGGTGGACACCATCCCCTCCGGAGGTAGCTTCTAACACAACTGTCCAATGCCTTACTTAGAACACATACTCTTCCTGATAGTGCTACAGGCATACTGGCTCTGTTCCAATATCCACACTAGAATGGCCACTGCATAGTTTCATTCTAAGTGCTATGCTAGTGTGGATATTGGAACAACCACTGTCTACATCAGCGTTTCCCAAACTCGGTCCTCGGAACCCCAAGGGGAACGCGTTTTGGTTTTTGCCCTAACACTGATTCTTATGATCAAAGCTTGATGATTAGTTGATTATTTGAATCAGCTGTGTAGTGCTAGCGCAAAAGCCAAAACGTGTACCCCTTGGGGTCCCGAGGACCGAGTTTGGGAAACCCGGGTCTACATGCAACGGTCCATTGCCTTACTTGGAACACAGTTGCCATGATTGTGTTAGATAGTCTTCTAGAATGTAGTTTCCTTGACCTTACTAAACATGTTATACCTCAGCTTTTCAATGCTCCTTTTCAGTCTGTTCCTCCCTATGTGTGTGTAGATCTGGTGCGGCGTCATGCTGGAGTGTTAGGTCTGAGTGCCTGTATCCTGTCCAGCCCCTACGATGTACCCACCTGGATGCCCCAGCTACTGATGAACCTCAGTGCCCACCTCAACGACACACAGCCCATTGAGGTGAACAGGACTAACACACACACACACTGAGGAAGAAGCAAGCAACACACACGCACTCTGCTCTCACGCACACACACACACACACACACCTCAACGACACACAGCCTATTGAGGTGAGGGGGACCACACACACTTCTCTTTCTCTCTCGCTCTCTCGTCGATCCCTGTCATCTTGTCCCTGAATGCGTCTTCTTGTGTCTCCTCCTGCAGATGACGGTGAAGAAGACCCTGTCTAACTTCAGGCGGACTCACCATGACAACTGGCAGGAGCATAAACAGCAGTTTACTGACGACCAGCTGCTGGTTCTGACCGACTTGCTGGTCTCTCCCTGCTATTATGCCTAGATACCTGGTACGTACACACACCTGCTGGTGTCTCCCTGCTACTAAGCCTAGATAACTGGTACACACACACAATTCAAACGTATGCTTGGGTGGAAAAATCCCAACACTAATTACAGTACATTATAAACAATACAAGGCACCAACCATTAATCCCACTATCCATTCTGTCTCTCTTGATGGCCAAGCATTAATCCCACTATCCATTCTGTCTCTCTTGATGGCCAAGCATTAATCCCACTATCCATTCTGTCTCTTTAGGGCCCTGGTGCAACTTTGAGGAGATTTTTATGTTTCCTTGATGCCCTCTTTGAGCCACTCGACAATTCCTCACTCTGGGAAGGCCTCAGACTGAACAGAACAGGGCCCGTATTCACAAAGCGTTTGAGTAGGATTGCTAATCTAGAATCAGTTTTGCCTTTCAGATAATTTTGAATACCATTATATGGACAGGGCGGCCTGATTCTCGATCAGCACCGCTACTCTGAGACGCCCATAACAGAACACACCAGCCTGCACGAGGGCAGAGGGAAGACTGAGGCCTCACATCCAGGCCCCTGCCCTCTGGCCAGACCAACGGACAACACCTGGGTCCTATTCATCAGGCATCAAACGGAAGAAAACAGAATTAAAAACAGGGAGGAACTACCTGGGACTTGTCCAATAATAACCGCTTGTTTTTTGCGGGGTTTTCCTTTAAAAAAAATGTTTCTAAATGTTTTTCTATGTTGTGCCCTAACAAATATGACCCTGTACCCTGAGGACCTTAAAAAGGGGGTTGGGGGGAACACAAATGCGTAATGGATGAATGGATGGAATAAAAGAGTTGTGTATTTAGCGCTCATTTACATTTCTACTATACTTAATATTTAAGGATAAACCATAGCAGGGATGATTGGCCTGCGGTTTGTAATACTACTGTACAGTTTATTTCTTTTGTTAATTTTATTTTCTTTATTTGCATGCTTGTGTTTATGTGGAATGCTTGATGATACCCGCAGGTTTCCCCCTACCTCTGGTCCACGGTGTAGTGTGCGTTCTTCCACTAATGCACCACCACTTGTGGAGGAGTGCACGCTACGCCCTGGACCAGAGCTAGTTTCCCTCCCCATACTATTGCTCTCAGCTCAAAATCCCATCAATGTTATCAACTCTGAGCCAACTAACTATTATTCCAGTAGAGGGTAGAAACCGTACTGTCCCAGTTCTCCTATAGTGAAGTGTTCTTAGCCACAGTCTGTATGTGTTCAGATTAGATTGGGGATGTATCCCAAATGGTACCCTATTGGTTTTGGTGCACTACTTTTGACCAGGGCCCATAGGGCTCTGTTCAAAAGTAGTGCACTGTATAGGGAATAGGGTGCCATTTGGGACTTAGTTTAGATTTGAACCTGCCACACACATTTACGTACATGACGTTTGTGTACATTGTTTAATCTATATATGATATGTGCATATTTTATTATGTGTATATAGCATATGTATATAACATAAATGCACAAACATGTATTTATTTATTTATTGGTTTGAAGTGCTGATGTTTTTATTATTCTTAGAGAGAGTTGCTGGTAATGAAAGATTTTGGTTTGTGATGAACTAGGTTGTTCAGCTTTTTAGTGACCGAGCTTTTGATTTCATCCTGCTCTTTCATGGGCAATGCTATATATGCAGTAGATGAAGTTTGTGTGTGTGTGTTCATTCCCCAAGGCTGTATGTGTGTGCTGTGTTCATTCCCCAAGGCTGTATGTGTGTGCTGTGTCGAGCTGATGAACGCAGTTTGATCATCATGGCATGCGTCTAAACGCCTCTCAAAACCCCAAGGGACTGTTTTCCCGGACACAGATAATTGGAGGGTCTCCATTGAAGCAAGGCTTTTCAAGGACAAAAAAAAGCCAAAGTCCAGGTCTAGGCTAAATCTGTGTCCGTGAAACCGGCCCAAGGAATAACCAAACCTCCTGTCCACCACCTTAGCATCGCACCCCTTCCTCTTCTGTACTCTACTCCGCAATACAATATTATTCTCCATTCTTTTTTAAAAACCCTAGTGGGAGAGAGATTTATTTTTGGTTCAATATTTTGTTTTTTCATGAAGACTTGAAAAGCTAGTCTCATTGAAGCATCGGTTCAGTTTAGTACCTCACTCCTGTATAGTGTAGTGCCAAAACTGCAGTGATTTTTTTTTTTTAGATGTACTGTTTGCTTATATTTAATGAAGAAAATAAAAGAAATAAATGGGTTGCTTGTAACACATTTGTAGTGTGTGTCTGTGCCAGTTGGTTTTGAGATGACTCATATTGAAGTTAGTCACTGCTGGGGCCATATGCATCCTCCTGAATAGGGCAGCCATTGACGCTAGAAAATATGGTGCAGTGCCTATACATGCATATCAAGTAGACACGTCTTGGATGTGCAGTGCAATTTAAGGTTGCACTTTGACTGGCTTAACTGTACCATGTTGAGAGGGTCCCTTTATCTTACACCAAGGTCTAGGAGTTGGGTCTCAATGTACAGGTGGTAGCATATATAGCAAAGTCACTGTAACCTACAGAGAGAGGGGATTCAAGAATGAGTCAGACCCCACTGTTCCCAAGGTATTTCTAGACTAAATATTGTGGCTTATTCTCCCTTGAGAATGGATTTGTTGTTCTTTTGATTTCGTTAGGGACAGTTGGACATTTATGGGGGGTGTCCAATATAGGGGAGGGTTGTTTGTTTTTATTGGGCACAGGGGAGGGTAGTGCATTTTTCCCTGGTTTACATTCACTATTTTGCATGTTTTCCTATATACAATTTCTTTCATCGTAGCCAAATTTCCTCATTTGCTTGAATGCACCTCTATTTCAAGGTGTTTTGGTACTTCCCTTATGCACTACGCTTTTCCACGCGCTAACTTTTACTATACCACAGGTCAATATACAGTGAGGGAAAAAAGTATTTGATCCCCTGCTGATTTTGTACGTTTGCCCACTAACAAAGAAATGATCAGTCTATAATTTTTATGGTAGGTTTATTTGAACAGTGAGAGACAGAATAACAACCAAAAAATCCTGAAAAACGCATGTCAAAAATGTTATAAATTGATTTGCATTTTAATGAGGGAAATAAGTATTTGACCCCCTCTCAATAAGAAAGATTGTCTTTTCCCAGGTGTCTTTTATACAGGTAACGAGCTGAGATTAGGAGCACACTCTTAAAGGGAGTGCTCCTAATCTCAGCTTGTTACCTGTATAAAAGATACATGTCCACAGAAGCAATCAATCAATCAGATTCCAAACTCTCCACCATGGCCAAGACCAAAGAACTCTCCAAGGATGTCAGGGACAAGATTGTAGACCTACACAAGGCTGGAATGGGCTACAAGACCATCGCCAAGCAGCTTGGTGAGAAGGTGACAACAGTTGGTGCGATTATTCGCTAATGGAAGAAACACAAAAGACCTGTCAATCTCCCTCGGCCTGGGGCTCCATGCAAGATCTCACCTCGTGGAGTTGCAATGATCATGAGAACGGTGAGGAATCAGCCCAGAACTACACGGGAGGATCTTGTCAATGATCTCAAGGCAGCTGGGACCATAGTCACCAAGAAAATAATTGGTAACACACTACGCCGTGAAGGACTGAAATCCTGCAGCGCTCGCAAGATCCCCCTGCTCAAGAAAGCACATATACAGGCCCGTCTGAAGTTTGCCAATGAACATCTGAATGATTCAGAGGAGAACTGGGTGAAAGTGTTGTGGTCAGATGAGACCAAAATCGAGCTCTTTGGCATCAACTCAACTCGCCGTGTTTGGAGGAGGAGGAATGCTGCCTATGACCCCAAGAACACCATCCCCACCGTCAAACATGGAGGTGGAAACATTATGCTTTGGGGGTGTTTTTCTGCTAAGGGGACAGGACAACTTCACCGCATCAAAGGGACGATGGACGGGGCCATGTACCGTCAAATCTTGGGTGAGAACCTCCTTCCCTCAGCCAGGGCATTGAAAATGGGTCGTGGGTATTGACAATGACCCAAAACACACGGCCAAGGCAACAAAGGAGTGGCTCAAGAAGAAGCCCATTAAGGTCCTGGAGTGGCCTAGCCAGTCTCCAGACCTTAATCCCATAGAAAATCTGTGGAGGGAGCTGAAGGTTTGAGTTGCCAAACGTCAGCCTCGAAACCTTAATGACTTGGAGAAGATCTGCAAAGAGGAGTGGAACAAAATCCCTCCTGAGATGTGTGCAAACCTGGTGGCCAACTACAAGAAACGTCTGACCTCTGTGATTGCCAACAAGGGTTTTGCCACCATGTACTAAGTCATGTTTTGCAGAGGGGTCAAATACTTATTTCCCTAATTAAAATGCAAATCAATTGATAACATTTTTGACATGCGTTTTTCTGGATTTTTTTGTTGCTATTCTGTCTCTCACTGTTCAAATAAACCTACCATTAAAATTATAGACTGATCATGTCTTTGTCAGCGGGCAAACGTACAACATCAGCAGGGGATCAAATACTTTTTTCTCTCACTGTACAGTTGAAGTCGGAAGTTTACATACGCTTAGGTTGGAGTCATTAAAACTCATTTTTTATCCACTCCACAAATTTCTTGTTAAAACAACTATAGTTTTGGCAAGTCGGTTAGGACATCTACTTTGTGCATGACACAAGTAATTTTTCCAACAATTGTTTACAGACAGATTATTTCACTTATAATTCACTATCACAATTCCAGTGGGTCAGAAGTTTACATACACTAAGTTGACTGTGCCTTTAATCAGCTTGGAAAATTCCAGAAAATGATGTCATGGCTTTAGAAGCTTCTGATAGGCTAATTGACATCATTTGAGTCAATTGGAGGTGTACTTGTGGATGTATTTCAAGGCCTACCTTCAAACTCAGTGACTCTTTGCTTGACATCATGGGAAAATCAAAAGAAATCAGCCAAGACCACAGAAAAACAATTGTAAACCTCAACAAGTCTGGTTCATCCTTGGGAGCAATTTCCAAACGCCTGAAGGTACCACGTTCATCTGTACAAACAATAGTACACAAGTTTAAACACCATGGGACCACGCAGCCGTCATACCGCTCAGGAAGGAGACTTGTTCTGTCTCCAAGAGATGAACGTACTTTGGTGCAATAAGTGCAAATCAATCCCAGAACAACAGCAAAGCAACTTGTGAAGATGCTGGAGGAAACCGGTACAAAAGTATCTATATCCACAGTAAAACTACAGTGAGGGGAAAAATATTTTATCCCCTGCTGATTTTGTAAATAGAACTGTTTGGACATAATGACCGTCGTTATGTTTGGAGGAAAAGGGGGGTCGCTTGCAAGCCGAAGAACACCTTCCCAACCATGAAGCACGGGGGTGGCAGCATCATGCTGTGGGGGTGCTTTGCTGCAGGAGGGACTGGTGCTCTTCACAAAATAGATGGCATCATGAGGAAGGAAAATTATGTGGATATATTGACGCAACATCTCAAGACATCAGTCAGGAAGTTAAAGCTTGGTCGCAAATGGGTCTTCCAAATGGACAATGACCCCAAGCATACTTCCAAAGTTGTGGCAAAATGGCTTAAGGACAACAAAGTCAAGGTATTGGAGTGGCCATCACAAAGCCCTGACTTCAACTGAAAAAGTGTGTGCGAGCAAGGAGGCCTACAAACCTGACTCAGTTACACCAGCTCTGTCAGGAGGAATGGGCTACCCGAAACGGAAGGCTACCCGAAACGTTTAATCCAAGTTAAACAATTTAAAGGCAATGCTACCAAATACTAATTGAGTGTATGTAAACTTCTGACCCACTGGGAATGTGATGAAAGAAATAAAAGCTGAAATAAATAATTATCTCTACTATTATTCTGACATTTCACATTCTTAAAATAAAGTGGTGATCCTAACTGACCTAAGACAGGGAATTTTTACTAGGATTAAATGTCAGGAATTGTGAAAAACTGAGTTTAAATGTATTTGGCTAGGTATGTTATAGGGGTGTAACGATTCGTTTTAACAACGATTCGATTTGTATCACGATTCGTGGTTGTCGATACGATTCAAGGACGATATTGGTTCATTTAGAACGATACGATCCGAAACGATTCAGTGACTTGAAATCGATTCAGTAACCTTTTAGCCAAAAATTCAACCAGTGTGACTGAAATAAATACCTGGATACTGGACAGTGCAGGTGAAGTTTCCTAGATTCCTGTTTCTTGTAAGGACCGCAATGGTGGCTTGATAATTTCTCGCTCGTCGGCTTCTCCTCTGTCGTCCGCCATGCTATGTTTTGTTGTCTTTGCGCCTTTGCGCTGCTGCTGGCGCGGGGCGATGA